TCCTCTGGAAATCTTCAATAATTGTTGTTGATTGCAGATGTGTCTAGTAGTTCCCATTGATTTAGCTTGGAAAGCGGGGAGAATGGCGCTAGGCTTACCGCACCGTGACGTCACTGCTGGAAGGAGGGAGGGGCTACTATATTTGGGCAAAAATGGCCGCTCCATTTAAAAAATGTTTTTACATATTAACACTAAATTCATTTAATTGCAGCTAACGTATTAGTTTTAGATCCATTGGTTATTCCTTGCTGACTGAACTTTTCCTTTAACACTGCAAAAAATTGAAATCTACATAAGTCATTTTTTCTTAAAAAAAGGTGCATTTATTCTTTAATTGAGGAGGAAAGTGAGACATTTTGCCAATGGAACGAGACAATTCACATTTAAAATAAGGAAAAACAATTGCATTGTCTTATTTCAAGTGCATATTATCTGATTATCTTATTCTAAGAGTGAAAATACTAATTCCATTGGCAAACTATCTGATTTACCTACTCAAAATAAGGGTAAATACACTTAGTTTAAGAAAGTTGGACTTATTTCTAGATCATTTTTGCAGTGAATTAAGGCTGTTTGGAAACACTGACTCTTTTCTGCTCTCTGTTTATCCAGCAGAGCTGATCTGATCAGAGTTTTTCTGTCTTATTACCCTAAAACTTAAGCGATGCACTAAAATGCCAAACTCTATTTCCCATCAAGCATCACTACATGTGCCTTCAATAAGCCAGCTGGGGAAACATGCCCTGATTCTAATTGTTTATACGTATCATAGGTGAAGGATTCATTTATTACACTGCAAAAAACATCTAAAAATGAGAAAATATGCCTTAAATTAAGTGTATTTACCATTAATTCAAGTAAGTAAATGGGATAATTTGCCAATGGAATTAGTATTTTTAGTCTTAAAATAAGATAATTAGATAATATGCACTTGAAATAAGACAATGCAATTGTGTTTTCTTATTTTAAATGTCAATTGTCTTGTTCCATTGGCAAAGTGTCTCAATTACCTCCTCAGTTCAAGAAAAAAATGCACTTATTCCAAGAAAAAACAACTTATGTAGATTTCAATTTTTTGCAGTGTACAAATGGATAGATCTTCAAACCTAGTTTACATGTCTGGTTTATATCTGCAACAGACACCAGCTCTCAGGGAGAATGAGAGGCAGATATCCACGTTCAAATCAGTCCTCTGTTAGCGTAGAACACTTTAAAAAGCATCCTATTGTCTTTTTAAACCTAGATATACAGAAAAAAGACCAGCAGAGATCAGGTAGCCCAATCTACATGGCTTAGATCAGCTCTGAGACTCCCACAGCTGTGGCCTCTTTCTATCTTTACACCCATAATTCATATAAATGTTAATGATTAAATGTGGAGGAAAAAAACATCACAGGAAGTTATTAATTTACAGAAACACTGAAGAAGATCTTTATCGGATCATTGTGGAGAACATGCATCCTTTCTGGTTTTATATTCTCTGACTTTTTATAAGCTAGTCACGTTTTATTACAAAGTTTCTGGCTTCAGTTTGTATTGAAGCCTTTATTATAAAAATTAAAACGTTACGAGCACAGGTTATTTAAAACCTTTTGAAAATAATCACTACAATCAAATTTACCGGATGTCAAGGTTGACATTTTAAACATATGCTTTTCAGTTTGAGTTTCTCATGCATTTAATTTTTTCCATAATAACATATATGCATTTATTATGTATGAAATACTTAACCCCCCCCC